TCGTCAAAATGTTTAATTGCGTTATAAATGAGCATTTTTGCAATCTGGGTTACCGACTGCCCTTCACTTCTTTACTTCACAATTATAGTCCGCTTTTCTTCCGTGGAACACAAACCTCTAGCCATATCTAATCAGATCTAATTCAAAACCACAGTTTTTATATTAAATAATCTCTCAACAACAAAGTTTTTTGTATTCGAAAATAAATATTTCTTAAAACTTTACAAAACTTCGACAGTCTAAGAAGTGTGCTAAATATGTGTCCACGACAGTAACAAAAACAAAGCGACGAAACTTTGCGATATCTTAGCTTGGCGCCTTGATCATGTCTAGACAAAGTGGCGCCTTTGAATTTTGTAACATTACGAAGAAAACATCGTTTGAATTTAGGTAGAGTGATGTGTGCTAAGTATATGACCACCACTGTATGTAAAATAAAATAAATGTTAGAGGTTGTTTCTTAGCTTTGCTAAAACCGAAAATGATGGTAAAAACTTCCTAACTCGTAGGATTTTTCGTGTTACAGCCTAGGGGTGTGAGGTCAAACCACGATCATTCACTAAAATCACAAAAATAGCTGTAGGAGATGGTAAATGTTTAAACTCAAATTTGTAATCAGAACACCTCAAATACACCACAGACCGCTTAACACATCAGTCGCAAATTTTTCCTTCAGATTTGATGAGCACTGTTATTAATTATTATGCCATCAAAACTTCAACGCAATAAAACGTAGCCAAAAAGTAAAAAAACTAATGACTTAACGCTTATTAGGAAAGTGGTAACAAAACGTAACAGCGATACATAAAATGCAACAATCAAAAACAACAGATATTCGGTAATAATTGGCAGCAGCAAAATCACAAACCGTTGAATTGTTGTAATGAACTCAACGATTGTGAGACAAGAAACAAACTTGCGCCGAAAAACAAGCACCAACCAAAATGTTAACTTCAACTCAGCTAGCAACACCAATGGCGAAAAGTGATGTAAGGCAACTCGGTAATTTGTAACAGTATCAGGCCAATGATAACAACAAACAAGAAAAAACGTTAACTTCGGCTGCACCGAAGCTGTAATACCCTTCACGCATACAAAAGTTTCCTTGCAAGATCTTCATTTCAATCGTTCACTTTGTATGGCAGCTACATACACTAGGTATCAAATGAAAGTATAAATGTAATATATACTGGTAACCTCAGATCACTCATTTACTTCCTACATTTTCGCTTAAGAATAAATTCATAAAACTTTTCATGTAGATGCACCCTTATGTAAATAAACAGTTGAAGTAATATAATATTTGCACTTATTATTTGTACGCAAAAAATATTTACTCTATCGAGAGTGATTAGTCCATSAGCGAGMATCAAATGAAAGTATAATTTTAGTTTTGGTTCATTTCTTTCAAWGTAAAACTGARTTTTACTATAGATTTAATAAATTTGCATTTATTAARGGAATTTCTGTTATGGTGAAAATGTTTTTGTTCTGTTTCTTAGTAAAAACATTAARAAACTGAAGARAATCGAATCTTAATTRTAGAAGATGGGATTAGGAGTGAAACGTATCAAAAAATATAAAGATATTCCATTTCTGTCGTAGAGACAAGAAAGATTTTTGAATACTTCAAGAGGAGGAATAGATGCAAGATTCAGTAGGGAGGAAGTCCATGGTCCAAAGTTTCTATACACGCTGAGCGACTTGTACGAAGAAAAGCTCCTGAAAACMTTAAAATTTTATCGCAGGAGTTGATTGAAMGTTTTGGTTTGGATGTTTAAATTAGTACAATGAAAATAAAAATACAAACATCTGGTTTTAAAAACTATGTCGCAAAAAAATKACCTATGTTTWCCATTTCGAGTACGAAAAAAGGACTAGAGTTTGCAAAAAAAATCCAAACTTACCAACCTCATTTTGAGATAAATTCAAATTCGAGCTAAGGAGTTAAAAAACACGTTAGGGAGTGTTGTGTAGACTTTCGGATCGCTTAAAAGCACAGTGCATACAATCATCAGTGAAGCATGGAGGATGTTCTCGCATGGTTTGGGGCTGGTTCTCAAAATTTGCTGTAGGTAGTGTATTTAAAATCCATGGATGAATGACGGTAACTTCATATGTTGACATTCTTAGCGAAAATTTGAAAATAAATGTGTAAAGATTGAACTTGGGGTCATTTATTTTCCAATAAGATAACGACCGCCAACGCACATCTCGCCTGACCACTCGCAAGTGGCTTGGCCAGCTCAGTCATTAAGTATAAATCCAATTAAGCATTTGTGGTTAATTTTTGATTCCAAAATACCAAAAAGCAGCCGTACAAACTTGGAATAATTTTTCTTAGAGACGAAGCGTCAAATTGATATTATTCGAMAGAAAATATTAGAAAATTTGGTACGAGGCATGCCAAAACATCGTCGTGCAGTAATTCAGTATAAATAAGGCGATATTAATTAATAAATTTACTTTTAAACCAAAAGTTTTGTATTTTTTCAAAATGTATACTTTCATTTGACCACTTTTATTTAAAAGGCCTTTTTTTTTTAGAGTGGAAGAAAATTTTTCTTTCCATTCTGGGAAAAAATATATTAATTTATAATTTGTTACTTAAATACCTATGCAAATGTAATATTAATGTATAAATTATTAATTGTTTATTTTAATAAAACTGCATTGAAATAACGTCTGTGAAATTTATACTTTCATTTGATGCCTAGTGTATATGCTACAGTGGTCTGATACTGGCGAGGAGAAAATGATGTGTAAAAAAATACAGATCGATATCTCAAAAACTGGGGGTGTTCAGGGTATAAAAAGAAAAAAAAATTATAATTTGTTCATGCCGACTATTATTGAAAGCATTGAACGGTAACACATGCCGCCGTGTCGCTTAGCGGGTAATGATAATAATAATAAAAACAATTACAACATTAACGTCGGTAATAAATAGGATACGGAAAAAGTTATTGAACCAAAAATCAAATATTCAAATCAAATTTAAGTAACGCAAACAGCTAAAACAACGACAAAACTACAATAAAGCTGCTGTCAATTGACTCTTCGGCAAATATTATATATCCTCAAGTCGAAGAAAGGTTACTTAATAAGGAAAAAATATCTTTTATGAAGATCTTTATTTGATTTTGATCGGTCAATTTAAGTGATAGCTGTATGCTATAGGGGTCCGATGCCGGCGTTATTGGCACATTGAACATGGCCAAAGCGACTCAGCTTCTCATTTTGATCTTTTATATTTTTTTTTATTTTATTAAAGCTTACATAATAAACAAATGATTAAATAAACTAAAGTACGCAGCGCATATCTTTTATATATATTTTTTCTTTATAGGGTTTAAGACGTTTCCTTTTAGATTATATGATTTCTATTAGTTGAATTACAACTATTAGTTAATGAGGTACAGCATTTTTGTGAAGCAACTTGTGTTAGTTTACAAAGAAATGGATCATAAAACATTTCGTGTGGTAATAAAGCATTGCTTTTTGGGGGAAAATACTGTTGAATTTGGGCTCAGGGAAATCCATCACTGAAAAGGTATCCTATGTCCTTACCCTGGTTCTAAACTACCTCCCCACCAATTTTCAGTCAAATCGGTTCAGCTGTTCTTGAGGTATAAATGGTGTAACTAACACAACTTTCATTTATATATATAGATTTGTAAGTATGTACAATAATTTGTTATGTATCCATTTGGTCATCATTGTGGTAACTTTATGATAAAACGTGTTTTCATAGACTTTATTGGATTTACCGAGCGTAAGCAATAAACCATGGCAACAAAACATTTGTCATTGTTCATTAAAGTAACCAACTGTATAACACATTTTATAACATAAATACATAACATGTATATACATTTGTAAATAAATGCTTTAATATTTCCACAAAAGTTCATAAAACAGATCTCGACGGGAACTCAATGTGCTATTTTCTTATCTTTATCAATTTCCATTTTAAAGTAGAACTTTAAATGCGAAAAGAGTTTATTGCACCCACTGCTCTGATAGGCGACTCTTTGTCGCTGCACAATGGACCATATCTTTCAATATGCTAAGATGGTGTTTTTCATTCACTTTGTGTTTGTGTGGGTGTACAGCAGTACAATTGTTGCCTTTCTGCATATCCGTCGGATAAAAGTTGTATGCATGTGTGTGCGTTTATAGATAGATATACTCGTATATACAATTTGTTTGTACGCATATTTAATTTAAACTTATTTCAAATGGACATGACGAATTCTAACATAAAAATGTATTTCCAATGAGCTCTATGCAACATTTCTGATGCACCTTAACTAAAAGGAAAGGTCAGGGACCATATAAAATGTATATGTAAATGATCAGCGTGATGAGCTAAGTCGATTTAGCCATGTCCGTCTATCTGCCCGTCCGTTTGTATATATACGAACTAGTCACTCTGTTTTTGAGATATCTTGTTTTTATAGCAATACCTGAATGTATTCTCCCGGCAAGGTACTTTTTGCAAGTTGCGAGAGTATAAAGTATTTGGTTACACCCGAACTTAGCCCTATCTTACTTGTTATTACTGTTGCTGCGGTTGCTAAGTACTGAAACAACGAGATATCAAAAAATTTTACAATGAACCTTCCGCTAGTATAGTTTTATGTTTTGTATTTTTCGTATGTATCTACAATATTTTAGAAGAATCCAAAAATCAAAACTTATATTTCTTCAATATGGGAAATATTTGCAATTAGCCATTGTCTGAGTAATATAACACTTGTATTTTTTTTATTATTGTCAGAATTTCGTAAAGCATTCTTCATATGGAATGATTGATACTATTGGATTACTTAAAATCTTTCGCTCAAAGTTGAGGAGACTTAAGGCGTCTACACTATTCTTAGTGTTAAGGATGATTAGATGAAAAATGAGAACACAATTTATCCCAAAAAATAGCTAATAAATAACCTATTAAAATTACAATTTTTATTAGTTGTTTGAACTTGTATTAATTGCAGGATATGGTGCAAGCGAAGGATCCGCCCTCTCATTATTTGAATAAGTTGCGCACATATCTGGACCCAAAAGCGTCTCGCAGTCATCGGGTAAGTTTGTTTTTAGAGCTCACATACATATGTACATATGTATTGTACATATTCGTAGTATTTGTAATGTTTTCTATCGTAAATGTATTGTAGTTGCAGTTGGTTGAACGAGTAATTGTCCCAAGTTTGTAGTTTAGTAACGTTTCTCATTTCTTGTTTCACTTTGTTTGGCTTGAGCGCTTCTTAATTTTTGTAAATTTTTATTTTTATTCTTAAATAGAATATAAACTTGCGAATAATTATTTATATTTTTATAATGGCTTTTGGGTATCTTTCCGTTGTCTGTAGAACTCAGTATGTAGAGAGCTTAACTACTTATTTTAATTATACTCACCAAAACCTTTCTGTACCGTATTTTAGGAATATATATACAGTACATATGTATATATTCCATTAAGAAACTTTCAGTTGAAAATTTATTATTTTTTGGTGTGTCATATATATCAACATAAAAATATCTTCAACTAGACTTAAAGTCTAAATCTGAAATCTACTGAAGTGATCATATACAGATCAGGCAAAATTATCGGTTAAATGTAGGAAAAAACTAAAGACCGACATTCACCCAGGGCACAAATTATTAATATTACCTACAGATTAATATTCTGTTTTATGAAATAATCCGAGACAAGTCAGCTCGTCGTTTAATAATAGTTACTAATAATGGAAATTAAAACTAAAAAAAATAATTTGAATTACAATTGCAATATTTCTTAAAAATTATTAAAATTCCAATTTTACATTTAAATTGTGGCGGTGCTGGTCTACGTCAGCGTTTACGCGGTTATAGCAACAACGTTCCAGTCGTTTCTTCTTTTCGCTCTTTGGCTTCCATTAGAGAAACCAGGTACAGCTAGATCCTTCCCTACCTTATCTGGAGTGTTCTCTTCCATCCATTCCACCTAACCAGCGCAGCTGCTGTTTCTTGATTCGCTGAACTATGCCAATGTCGCCGTATATCTCGTACAGCTCAGTACAGTAGCTATAAACATCGGTCACTAGATCGCCACTTTGGGTCATACAAGGGTATGCTGCGGTCTTGAAACTTTCCGTTAGTCACTGTATCTTCGTAGAATCTTCGAGAATTACCCCTGTGGGCTATCTTCTCAAGCTTTTCATACTCACCAAGTCGCTGGTGAGTGCTCTCGGAGAGCAGAAGTCGAGTAGAAAACTGTTTCGATGTCGACTGTGATAGTAGCTTCTCGACGTCGTATCTTTCCTATATTTGCTTACGGATGTGCTTTGCTGTACAGAGGCGTTCGCATATTTTATCTACAACAAGATGTTAGGACATCTGCACATCGAGGACACTGTAGATATTTCATCTATTACGAAGTGATTGTTCTGGTTGCGAACTTTTCTATCCGGAGACAGCCTCTTTTCTATGACCGCTGTAATGAATGTCCCGTCCATTACACTTCTTGGGCGTCAGTGATGTCATCTTTACTTTTACGAGGACCACTTACATGCCCTTAAATCTAATTCTTATTACGTTGTCTATGTTCGTCATCAATAGTTAAGTTTTTATCCAAGGCTGTAGTTTCTTTTTCATTGGGGTTGTTTCTATATGATTTGTCTCAAACCCAGCGCACAACCTTGTCGAGTATTATAAAGTTTTGTACACATTTATATAGCGGTCCGCTTGCTTCAAGAGTGACGCCCGCTCGCAGCCGCAAACGCTTAAACAGATGAAAGAGTAAGAATTGAATATAGTCACACGACTGTAACTGCTTACCCAGAAGCATTATCGTCCTAAAATTAAAACAGGCTTCCGAATATATAGTAAATCAGTCCTGAGCCGCGAGCGTCATTATACTTCATATAGTGATTTCCATTCATTTTGACTTTCTATCTGACTTTAAAGTGTTGGTCACTATTTGTGCTATTTTAGTGAAATTAAGTGAACAATTTTTTTTAATAATGCAGTGTAGCGCTGAATATGACCAAGATTGGTCAAACACTGGGTCAACACTTCACATTCCTAATATGCTGACTTCCCATCCTCTGGTTCTCATATACATACACCACATAATTAAATTTAGTCGATCTGGTTGAGTTTAGGTCACATACCATATATCTCATTTGGGTGATTACGCTAGATTTTAATATAAATAGTTAAACTAGCAACTTTAACTAAGGGAATTCATGATTAATAATATACGCTTTTACGCAACATTTGAGTATAAAATCTTCGGTTACACCTAAACTTTGCTCTTCTTTACTAGTTTAAACTATTTTTTTTTTATTGCATTGACTAAGATGTAGATACTTGAAAGCCACTAAAAATGTAAAGAATACCAAAATATTCATCGAACTATTCCCCGTAGTCTGTTTTGATGTTTGCGGTACGTTGGATATGATCTATATGTTTTGAAGAGTAATAAAAGCATCTTGGCTTGCGCTCTAATCGACTTACCTGCTGCTATCTATACTTTTGCGGTTTAGATGAAACTTCTTTACTTTGTATGTAGTCAAATTAAATTTCTCTTTAAAATACTGAAAATTAATGCAAACTTTTCGTTTTCTCTATTTATACACTCACACACTTACACTACAATTTTTTCTTTGTTATTTTGTTTTTAATTTCTTTTCATGCTTCTTAAAACTTACAACATGATTTACTTCCTACACTTTTCAACGTCACCAATTCCCACACATCTTATACTTTCAACATTCACTTGTTTACGTAATATGAATTTTTTTGTTTGTTTTCGGTTCGCTTTTGTGCACACCTCACCTGTCCCAAAAATACATTTACAAATATACCTGAAACACCCTGTATATCCTAACAAACTCCTCCTGTTGTGTGTTTGTTCGTAATCATCATTACTCTTAATTACGGATTACTTTTCAATATTCCCGATCCTAACCCATTTCCCTCGTCGAACTTATACCTTGCTCCTCTCCCCTCCTGTCCGGGACAATTTTTACACTTACAGCTATTTTTCCTCTACTTTCTTTGTCAGAAACGCAAAATGGTCGGTGAATCCACATCGACGCAGGTGCTGCGTGATCTTGAGATCTCGCTGCGCACCAACCACATTGAGTGGGTAAAGGAGTTTCTTGATGACACGAATCAGGGTCTCGACGCACTTGTTGATTACCTAAGTTTTCGACTGCAGATGATGCGACATGAGCAGCGTGTCGAAGAAGCACTCTCCGATTCCGATGAGCGTCTAAACATGACAAGTAGTCAGACGGTGGGAGGTGGCGGCACCGGTTCGGGTTCAGCGGATGGTCTTTGCAGCACATCGGTGGGAGTTAGTTCACCGCTGAGTGGTAGCATCAACATGGATGGTATGCGACATCACCAACATTCACACGTGGCTCACTCGGGCGGCAGTCTTAATGGTTTTTTGCGTCCCTCGCTGGCCGAGGTGCTCGACAGCCCCAGCATTAGAAGACGCTCCAGGCATATAGCGAAATTGAATATGGGCGCATCTACAGATGATATACATGTGTGTATAATGTGCTTGCGCGCCATAATGAACAACAAATACGGATTTAACATGGTAATACAACATCGTGAGGCCATTAATTGCATTGCGTTGAGTTTGATACACAAGTCTCTGCGTACCAAAGCGCTAGTGCTGGAGCTTTTAGCTGCCATTTGTCTGGTGAAGGGTGGCCACGAGATCATTTTGTCCTCGTTCGACAACTTTAAGGACGTGTGTCAGGAGAAGCGACGCTTTCAAACACTCATGGAATACTTCATGAATTTTGAAGCCTTCAATATTGACTTTATGGTTGCGTGCATGCAGTTCATGAACATTGTGGTTCACTCTGTGGAAGATATGAATTATCGCGTTCATCTGCAATATGAATTCACAGCTCTTGGTCTTGACAAATATCTGGAAAAACTACGTATGACTGAATCAGAAGAGCTAAAGGTGCAAATTTCGGCATATTTGGATAACGTATTCGACGTGGCGGGACTAATGGAGGATTCTGAAACGAAGACTGCAGCGTTGGAACGTGTGCAGGAGCTTGAAGATCAGTTGGAACGAGAAGTGGATCGCAACTCAGAATTCATGTATAAATTGGCTGAGCTCGAGACAGAAGTTGCTGTATTGAAAGCAGAACGAGAGGATTTAATGACGACAAAACTGAAATTTGACGAAGAGGTCACAACGTTGCGTCGCATACTCAAACAAAATGAACAAGAGCTGAAGAAACGTGAATCTCTACTTCAAAGCAAAAACCTCGAATTACAAACGTTGACTCGTTCATTACCACGTTCTGGTTCAAATAGTGAAACATCCTTACAAAATGGTGGGGCGTCACCAGATAAATGCATGTCACCTCCACTGCCACCTCCGCCGCCACCATTGCCGTCTGCCATGTCACCTGCCAGTTCGGCGCCTCCACCGCCACCTCCGCCCGCACCACCTGCTCCGCCACCACCGCCCATAACGCACGGCGGTTCCGTGAGTAATGGCGGTACATTATCACCTACAATGTCGACAAACGGCGGCTCCATAGGATCACGTTCACCGCCATATGGCTCTGGTCCAAATGGTGGACCTATGATATGTGCGTTCCAACCGCCACCTCCACCTGTGGCCGGTTTCATGCCCGCTCCAGACGGTGCCATGACAATCAAACGAAAAGTGCCGACCAAATACAAACTGCCCACGCTTAACTGGATAGCTTTAAAGCCAAACCAGGTGAGTTGATGACAATTTTTTAATAGTTGATATTTAATCAAGGTTTATTGCCCAGGTTCGAGGAACTATTTTCAACGAGTTGGATGACGAAAAGATCTTTAAACACATTGATTTCAACGAATTCGAGGAGCGCTTCAAAATTGGCATTGGCGGCTCATTGACAAATGGTAGTAACACTGAAGTGGATGGTCTGCACTCATATCCCAGTAGGCGCTTCAAGAAACCAGACAATGTGTCGTTATTGGAACACACGAGATTACGAAACATTGGTAAGGCACCGTTTTTTTTTTTAATTATCTATGGGTACTACTGTTGTCTAAAATAGCAAGACTTTTTTAATTTAAATTTAATAATAAATAATAAATATAACTGTCAGTGATATCTGTGCCAAATGTCACATCAAAATAATCATTAATGTTTAGTATACGCTTGTCTTCCTGAAGTACATAAAGGGAATTCGGCGATTTTTACGATGAGTGAAATTATTCAACAAGGAAGTTCCATCACTTTTGTGAGTAACGGTAACATTCAGAATGTTGGGAAAATCCTTTGGTGGTAATTGTACCAATTAACTGACGATCAACATGTCAATAAAATATAGAAATTTTTGCTGGAGAATCGACGATTTTCAGACAGAATTCTTACTTGGCATTGTGGAAACTATTTTGAAAGATTATTTGAGCCTAAGAAAAGTGAAAGCACAATTTGTTCCAAAATCACTCAATCTTCTCGAAAAACCGCGTCGCGGTAACATCTGTGAAACAATGCATTCCTACCACCAGGATATCCTGAAATGTATTATTACTGGCGATGTTAAAGATGATCAAAAATCAATATTATGTTGACAGTTTTCTTCGCTTATCAGGGTGCACTCCGAACTCCTTCCTACCGGCCAAACTGTCAAGAAGGGAAATTATTTGCGCGAAGCTTTCGTGAGAAAAAGGCCGGAATTATGGGCCAGCAACTCGTAGTTTTTGTTTGCTAATGCACTGTCGCATACTAGATTGATTCCTCCGCCCTATTCGCCAGATTTAGCTAAGTGTAACTTCTGGCTATTCCGCAAATTCAAACGGCGACTTCGGGGAAACCGGTTGAGACAATTGAAGATATTAAACATGAATCGGTACCCTCATTAAAGTCTATTCTGAAAATTTACTTTAACAACTGTTGAATTGGAAAATACGTTGTATAAGTGTTTTGGTTCCAAGGCGTATTACTTGGAGTGCGACGACATATATTTTGAAGAATAAATTTTAAAATTATGAACAAAGTCTTACTACTTTTTGTAGCTTATGTGTGTGTGACATACATATTTATGAATTTGTATCTTCAACAGCAATATCTCGACGCAAATTGGATATGCCCATCGATGAGGTAATCGCCGCCATACATAGTTTAGATTTGAAGAAACTGTCTCTTGAAAATGTGGAACTGCTTCAAAAGATGGTGCCCACTGATGTTGAGGTCAAATCTTACAAAGAATATATAGCTGAACGTAAAGATCAAAACCTACTCACCGAAGAAGACAAATTCATGTTGCAGTTATCGCGGGTTGAACGCATATCATCAAAGCTTTCTATAATGAACTACATGGGAAACTTCTTTGATTGCCTTCATCTAATCAGTCCAGTGAGTTTTTAAACATGTTATAAAAATATTTATAAAAATTCATTTCACTTACAGCAAATACAAGCTATAACAACAGCTTCGAACTCGCTTAAGAAATCGGTGAAATTCAAAGCTGTGCTGGAAATAGTCCTCGCATTTGGCAATTATCTCAACAGCAGTAAACGAGGTCCTGCCTATGGATTTAAATTACAGTCGCTTGATACCCTAATCGATACAAAGTCAACCGACAAACGCTCATCGCTATTGCACTATATTGTGGCTACCATCAGGCAAAAGTTTCCAGATCTGCTTAATTTCGACACTGAGTTGTATTGCACTGATAAAGCGTCACAAGTGTCGTTAGAAAATATAGTGACAGACGTACATGACCTAGAAAAGGGCATGGAACTGGTAAAGAAAGAAGCAGAACAGCGTGTAAAAGGTACACAAACGCATATACTACGCGATTTTCTCAATAATTCTGAGGATAAATTAAAGAAGATTAAGATGGAATTAAAGAATGCTCAAGATGCATTCAAAGAATGTGTTGAGTATTTCGGTGAATCATCTCGTAACGCTGATGCAGCTGCTTTCTTTGCGCTAATTGTGCGTTTCACTCGAGCTTTCAAAGTAAGTAAATTTCATATAGTAAATAACAATATTGCGTCACTATTTGGCAGTTTGCACAAGAGGCTATACCCATGTTGAAATTCTGTTTCTTGAGCCTGCAGTAACCAGTGTAAATGACACTGAATGGTAAAATTGAAAAGTTAAAATAAATTTGAAATGGGCATGGACTTGCAAAATCCAAATTGTTAGATGCAGCATTATAACTTTCGTTTAATTTCAAGAAGTGCCCTCATAACAAAGTATAATTATACAGCATTGTTCTAGTTTCATTGAAGGATATTATTTAGTGTTAATTACATTATTGATCCAATATACATATCTACTTTGCTAACTTGTTGTTTGGTAAACAAATCTCCATTCTTAGATTCACGATCAAGAAAACGAGCAACGCCGCCGCTTGGAACAAGCAGCAGCCCAGGCCGCCAACAAAAAGGAAAGTGACCAAGTGTTAATGCGCAACAAAATGAACCAGAAGAAACAACAGGTAAAAGCGTGCGCTGAAAAATTTCTGATTTCGTTCTTTTAAAATCAACTATTTCTTGTCAACACTAAGGCTTCTTAAATGTATTAAAGAAAATTTCGAAATGATTTACATTTTTTGGCTAAGGCTCTTCATAATTGATCATTTGTTTGGTAATAGTGTTGGTTGCAGTTGTTATTGTTTTTTTTTTCTTCATTAATTCATCCATATACAGAAACTGGGTTGCGTGACTATGGAAAGCAGTTTACTACACAAAGCGCTTATTAATTCTGCGTGAAAAGACAAAGCGCAATTGTCGCAGATAAATAAAAATCGGAATTTTAAAGGATTAGAAAAATACAAAATAATGTACAGTTAAGCAAAAGATATGAATTGTGCATAGTCGTAATCGTTATGTTAATGTAATTTGTAACGTGGCGTGTGGAATGTTTTGCAAAAATAATATTATTAAATTAGATGCAACAGGTGTTTGGCTTAAGTTAAATTGAATAATAACCGTAAATTGAATAATATGTTGTTTGGTGTTGGTGTGCTACTGCAGCAAAAATGCATTACACAAAGTTCAAGTCGAGGATACGAGCGTAACATATATCGCGTAAGACATTTTACTCATATTCTGATGCCAATATTTTTTAATAAATGTACATACTTACATACATATCAATATTTCCGTTGCCTAACTATATTCATATGCGACCATAGAACAATCTTAGTACCACTACACAACAACGTACATACATCTACACAACATCTGAGCACAATAAAATTCACTTACATACATGTATACAAAAAATACTGCTTAGTTTACATAATTTGATAATTAAACAAAAATTAGCCGAATAGAATAAGAAGGAAGTGCCTTAAAGTCTATAAATATTTACCATCATCATCACAATAATCGTCACCACTACAACCATTACTATAATCGCATCGATCCTAAGATCACAAACACCACTAACACTACCATCACAACCACAATTACCATTCTTCCTGATAAGCGATAAGGAGGTCACATTTGGTAGCACATAAAAGAAAAATTAAAGACCTGGCTTAAGTCATTACTTCTTGCCGTCCGTTTATAGGATTAATAATGAGTAAGTTATATCGGAAACCAAAACTTCAGTTGCTTCGTAGAGAAATTTATATTTACATTTAGCAATAGTTTTCCAAAATGCATACAACTACAATACGTATTTATATTTGTTTACGTTGTCCTTTTTGTGTGTTCTCAATTTGTTTGTCTATTGGTTCATTATACGATTTGTGTTCCATTTTGTTGATTTAATATTGTTTATTAATTTGTGAATTCTTTCTACTTACCCTTAAAGTAACATTTAATATTAAAAGCTAAACAATTTTTAGAAATGTGTATATACATATATGTGTAACATATAACAAATTTTATGTGAAACTAACAAATAGTACTCAAAGTTCGCTAAACTCCAACACATTTGAATGTAGCCGGAAATAAGTTAAATTCAAAGGAATAGCTTTCATTATTCTCGATGCGGCTCCAATTCTTTCTTCTCCTTGCTTGAGTTTGCCAGCATCATGGTTCTAGCGCCTTCAGCATTCTGGTCCACACCATCAATCTTATCTCCCTCTGCTTTTGCTATTTCTGCACCTGCAAAGTAGAATTTGTTTAGGACGATAGTTTTCAGCTTAAAAAATACTGTGCCTTTGCTGTTGAGTACAGAGTCACACATTTTCAATATTGAATAGCAGATATGAAAATCAAACCCTTTATCAAAGGCCGTTTGTTTAAATACATTCATTCCATTGTTGTTTTAACGAATTTTTTATTGTATTGGATATATCAAACTCATGTATCATATAAGGTCTTTACTTTCCTTAGCTTTGTAAGCATTTATCTTATAAATATCTGTTATATTATTTAGCAGTGATTTCTTTAGTTTTCGCAATTTGTTTCCTTTTTTGAATTGCGGTTTCTCATTGTGGTTTCTCATGCTTTCTAGTTACACGCTTGTTGAATCATATAAAATATATGGCGAAGGGAAACATCATCGTAAGCGTGTAATGGCCTCTTCTAGCTCCATGAATTCTAGTATTTCTGGTGACAGCTCATTGATGTTTTATGGGACCACCTCCATTTGGCGATTTTCATTTGGACTTCTTAGCTGTATATTTTTTCGTTCAAACATTGTGCTACCTATTATTCGTTCTTCGCGGCGGCAGAGTTGTTTAGCTTTTACCATTGTGTCAAGGCGTCATTTAAATTCTCTTTTTATTTCGTCGTACTATTCTAAATAGACGGATGCACATTAATAATGCTAATATTGAAAAACTTTAAGCGTATTTGTACGATTATACCCATTCTATAATTTATACTCTCAAAGCCCAAAAGCTACAAAATCGAATCCAAACATATAAGTTGGCTGCATGGACCACGATGCCTGTTTTGTACTGTCCTGCTGCTTCTGCTAGTTGTAGTAGAGCCATAGTTTGGTATGAGTTTCGCAAATTGTATGTATGTACATAACTTTATATCTTTGTCCTTAATAAGTTTGCCCAGTCGTCGTCGTTGGCAGTTATTTATCCGAGGCTTACTTGTAGCTTCCGTGACAATTGGAGTTAACAGTATCACAACGCGAAAGGAAATTAGGAGATTCAGAATGAGCTTAGGGGCTCCATTTCTAGTCTAACACTACGGTGCATTATTAAGAACCTAAAATTCTGAAGCGTTTATTTTTTAATATTAATGCCTTTATTGTATACACTCAAGTTTCAAAATTGTTTTATAACACTATAAATTATTCCTAAAATAGTTTAAAACTATAGTGGCAATACTAGCTGAAACTAAAACTCGACCTTTGTTACTTCGTCACTATTTCATATAATATCGGCAAAAAAATTTTCCCGAACACAACCCTGTATAATTACATTAGCAATTCACAAGATCTGCAATAATGTGCGCTACCATTTTTTTTGAGATTGTCAAAAGGATATAGTGGTTGTGCAATGCAAGACGCTCAATTATATCAAGTGCAAGTTGTGTGATTTGAATCGTACCTTTGTCTGAAGGAGACATTACTCAGATGAGAGATGAGAGAGTGACACAGCCATTGATTGCATCAATACTAAAAAATAACCAATGAATAAAGGGTAATTCCGTATGTTTGACATAGATTAATTGTTAATTATACGTTTTCCGAATATTATATGGGCAAGATAGTAATTGTCACTACAAAATAAAATATTACTAATTTCTCACAAAATTTCAACCAAATACCTTTCTATTTTGTTGACTTATGCAAAAATTGTGAATTTGAATAACATTTCAAATACTAAACATTTCCAGAGTCATGCAACATATGAATTTTTAATAAGCTTCTGTAAAGTATTAACCGACTTTAACTTATATTAAATAAGCTTGAAAACTACATATACTTGTAGTAGATATGTATTATGGTGACGGTCCAAACTAACTGAATTTGTATTTATTCTTTCTCCTATTTTCATGCATCCTAAATGCTCATGCGCTTACTGGTTCACTGTGGTGATGTTTATTTTCCTTTTGTTTGCTGCTTTCGTTTAAATGTGATACGCCAAAATTCCAAATTTTTACCATATTGCATTGAACTAATAACAGATGTCCGGTTGTGGCTACTCCTTACAGGACGCTGTCATTAACGAGCTGAAGAGCAAAGCGAATTCGGTTCGGGAGAAAAAATTACTGCAGCAGGATGAGGTTTATAACGGTGCTCTAGAGGACATACTGCTCGGGCTGAAGAGCGAACCCTACCGACGGGCCGATGCAGTGCGACGCAGTCAACGCAGGCGCATCGATAACAATCGTTTATCACGTACACTCGAAGAATTAGATGTCTAAAGCGAGAGACGAAAAAATTTACGAAAACTAGCAAAATAATATACAAAAATTATAAGAGAATGTACGTCAAGTACAATTATATACATTTAATGTTTTATAAGCAAGAAATTATATTGCATTTTCTACAATAGCATAAAATGCCAGGAAAACACTAGAATTTTGTATACATTTCATGAATTCATAATTCATATACAAAAGTAGGCATAGAATCGCCATACTCGAATACATAAGTAATTTACATATATAATACTTAGATTATGTCTGATTTGGCACAATTTAGAAGTACATTTGTTTAATTATAATCACATATACAATATATATTATTATATTCCCAAAAAATAGTAATACTTGCAAATTTAAAACCCTAACTCATTTATTCTCAAGTACATTCCTTTCTGTGTTATCCAAATTTTTAATGCAAAAAAAGCAGGCGTTGGCTTGTGGAGTGTTAAGTTGAATCATTGCATGAAATGTTCGAATAAAAGAAATTTAACAGTCTGCATTATATAAATATTTGAATGAGCGTTTAAAAGAATTTTTAAGAATCTCTAACTGTTGCATGTATGTATGTATATCCACATATATACCGAAAAAAGGTATATTCTTCTTTGATTTTGTACACACACAAATTGTATCTATTTGTATTTTTTTTTTTGTTTAATATTTGTATATATTTTCGTATATATTTTATTGTTAACTAATTTTCTATGATCTGTAAATATATCGCAAAAATTTAATACGTTCGAGCGGATTGAAATTGTTGATTGTAAAAGGTTAAGCTTAATATTTAGTGATGTCGATGATTTTTAATGTATAGTACGTACGTCTAAAACATAATAAATGCTAGTGGCAACTAGTTCACCACCAATTCGTGCAAATAAGAAACGATTATTGCAAAACATAAATTCCAATGATTTTTCGTTTTAAAAGCCGATAAACATATTTAGATAATTGCAAATTTTAAATTATTAACGCTTGAATCATGCGAAATATATTCAGACATTTAATATATTTGTTTTATTTCCTAAGGGAATATGTATAAACATACAAAAATTGTATACATATATACAGGTTTATGTTTTCATATTTAAATTATTTAATAAATACAAAAGCAATTTATTTAAATTTTTCTTGTTTATATAATAATTTTTTCTTTGGCTGGTTGTATCGAAAAACCTTTAATGGGTTTTGTGTCATTAAACTTCACAGATTTGTATTGTTTTAATTTTAGTGAAGGTCATGCTCCCGCATACTATTACGTTGTGTGTGCGCAGGCAACTTAGTTGTTGTTTCATTATTTCTACATTTAACAACAAATGAAATTTTACAGCGTTTTGTGTGTAGCATTCAAAAGTAATCTCCTTTGCTGAAGGCAAAAACGGATACACATGTATAGATAGTTAGATGCCAAAAACGTTGCAATACTTCAAACCAGTTTGGTTTCTACCTGTTAGGGAGTTAGTTTAGAATACACGATGGTTAATCTGCTGGCAGGTACCTACTTATAACAAAACCGCTCAGCTGGGACGACCCTTGTATTCTTAATTCTCCTAAAAACGAAATCCATGTTAAACCTTAAGCAAAGAAATGTTAATTTCTAAAATTGTATATTTGCACTTAAAAATTAGATTATTGCAAATAAATACTATTTATATGGGAAAATGTTCACATATGAAAATTAATATGCAAGTATATAAAATCAAAATATTAATTTCATATTGTTTCAGATCGTTCATGGAAATATTTGGTTTGCTATGAAATTGTATGTTTAAGCATGCACACTGTTCAGTAATAAATAATTATTGCATTATTGCTCCCCGAAAATAATTTCTTATAAATTTATATCCAGCGGTGGCATGGATACCAGCCAGCAGGCTTAATTCATACGGCCCCTGCATTCGTTAAGTTTTTACTAAATCTGGGAAATTTATTTCCGAACGTAATTTGAAAATGTATTTTATAGCCTTTGCAAAATATATACAAAATGCCAACAAAATTCTGAAGCAAAATATATTTAAATAATGGATTATCATACTGTGAACAATGTTTTAATTATCTAACAAATGGGTTTTTCCAATTACAAGTTTTATTTTATTTAGTTGTTCTACACTAATACGAGCAAATACGATAATACATGCAACTGAAGATACTATATTCATGCAATAAGTAAAAAGGATGAAATATGAGAAAACAGACTCAAAGCAGATATTACAAAATTACTACAATTTACAGATACTCATTTGGAAATAATATTGACAAAATATTTCGTCTAAAAATAAGTATTGGGCATTCCTGTTCCACTATAGCATTTAAGAAGGAGATTTTTAGGTATAGCATATGGAGAATACATGTTTATGTGTATGTACATATGAATATGTATATCTATATTATATGAAATATACGCAATTGCTTTTAAATATACGGATGTGTTTTTGAACACATTTGTAGTAATTAATTGTATATACTGATATCTAAGCTTTTTATACAGTTTTAAAGTTATATAAAATTACTAATAAATACACAACATTCATGCGGTATACATATGTATTAATATTATACTTTGTATTCAGTTATGCATAAATTAATTAGATTTATATAGAATAGAATTTAAAAATTTATTTTATGTTAGATGATGGCCTTAGGCCGATTGCAATTTGACGAGCTTTTTAGATAATATACTGATGAATTATTAAATATATTTGTTTCAATTCTCCAATTTACGTAAATTTATATAAGCGAATTTAACATGAATATAATGAATAAACATGTATGCAAATTATTTGTTTTCACTATCGTTAAAGTATAATTGTTTGAAGTAGCTCATGATGAATATCATAATCTTTTTAAACCATAATTGATCATCTACCCTAAATTGGAGACTTCGGTATTTAAAATGATACTATTCGCAATAATTTTTTAATAATTTGCTTGTTCTAATTTAGTTGATTACATCTGTTGTAGTAAAACTAATTTGTTAAAATAATGTATCACACCGGTAATATTAAAGATAATTGAGTATGTACATGTCGCTACGATCTCATTCATTCAAAGTGATCATTAATAAAAAGAAATATATAATCATAAACACCATTTAGATGACTTTTTATTACCTTACATTGCCTCATCAAGCCGAACTCTAAATTTTTTACAGAAATCCGCTGTTTATGTAATAATAAATAATTTGAAAAAAAAAAAATTTACTTTCCGATCACTAACGATCTTTGCGGCAAAGATGTTCCTCCTTGTATAGGGGAACACTAAACATTTACCATAAAATGCTTTGTACCTAAATTTAACGCAAAGTAATCCATAACTCATTATAGAACAAAAAAACGTATGAATAATTTTAAGTTCAAAATTTGTCCTATTTATTGACGTGATTCTGCTTTGATATGGCACCACCATGAAGATTGATACGAATGAGAAACAAAACAAATGATATGTTAATTCTTTTTGCTATGCTCACGATTCGCATCTCAGCTGGTTCTGTTCAGAAACAGTGATGCCCATAAAAACTTCGATTAATACAATAAACTAGGGTTCATTGTATATATTCCAATATTTGTATATTAACCTTGAGAAAATAGAGACAAATATTTATAACTGTGTTGTATAAATATCATGAATTTGATACAATATAGGGGTAAGAAGTAGATTTAAAATTAAATTTTATTCAACTATTTCTGTAGAATATACTGCATCTTTCGTAAATGTCTAGTTTAGTAACTTTCCTGAAAAATGCATTAAAAAATTTTAAAATCTATTTAAACTGGCGGAAGTCGAAAAAGACGATAATTATTTCAATAAAAAAATAATGGAAAAAAACCTGGTCGATCCAACACCGGGGTATTCAGAATTCTTTCGCATTGAACTACTTTCTGCTTCGGTTCTAGCCTATACAATAATATTTTACATAACCCATCACACGATTACAGATTTTGCATTGGCGGATTGAATTCCAAAGATTATCTGTTTAGTTCTATAAATTTTATTATTTTAATATTTTGAAAATTATATAGCATACTAAATTCACCACCCTTTATTACCAATAAAATCGAACACATGTGATTTCGTTGATTGGGTAACACTGGTTACAGATGTAAAGCAAATATTTACTGAAGCGAAGTTATTCGACGCAAAAGTGGAAAGAAACAAAGGTACTTTTGAAAAATATTAGTTTGTGAGTGATTGATTAAGAAAGATGTCTTGGTTCAATGTGTGGACTGCCATTAAAACTAAAACATGTAGATATCTATTGCAACGGTATTTGGGACAATTTATAGACGAAACGATAGACTTGAAACAATTGAAAGTTGATTTGTACAATGGTAAAGCTACCGTGAAAAATGTATCATTAAATGTAACAGCGTTGAATGCTATATTAGAAGCTCAAGGATGGGCTATAGAAATTATAAGTGGCCGTATAGGAGTTCTAACGGCTACTGTCCCATGGAACGCATTAATGTCGCAATGCAGCTGTATTGATGTTGAAGACGTGGTTATTTCGGTAAGGCCTGTTCAAAGGAAAACTAATGGAACTTCCATGTTAGAATCAATGTGGTCGTCAGCAAGCAATTCTATGCAGTTAGCAGAAGAATGCATGAAGCAGCATGATGACGATAATGAAGAAAATCAAGTAGATGCAAAATCAATTCCGGGCCTAGAAAAATTCGCGGAAACTATAGACAACATATTAAACAGAATAAAAGCAACATTTAAAAATACTTTTATACAACTTGAATATCAATCAACAGATAGTTCAAAAGCCATATCTCTGCGCTTTAATATAAATGAGTTAATATACGAAAATGTTACTGGCTGTATGCAAGAACAGCGCCATGAAAACTCTCCTAGGATCCAAACCAACAATTTGGAAGAAAGCGAGGAAAATAAATATCTGTTACCCATGTTTGCGAAACATAATATAAATATATGTGGTTTAACTGTAAGTACTGAAGAGCTGAAGACAATGAGTGAAAGCTTATTATATGAGAATAAAGATTTTTCTCAATCATGCGCTATTCCTATTATGGAAATAAGAGAAAAAATACATTTTCGAATCAAAATGAAACAATCTGAAAATATAAATGGACCTAAAATAATTATTGAATCCGAAATCGGTTCGGTTTATACTCTTATTACTCCAAGACAAATACACTTGATTTTAAAACTAATAGGTGCTTTTCAAAATGACACTTGCGATAAACAGGAAGCCGATTATTACGAAGAAAAGCAACACAATGATAATTATTTGTATCAAAAAAGAAATGAAACGGTTGAATTGGGTAACTGGATTGATTGTGAAACAGGTCCCTCTGTTGTAAGTCCATTACCGCGAATAAATTTGGATAAATTAAAAGACTTATCGAGAGGATATTCGCCACCTTGTAGCTCCATTAGCTCTAGCACCACATTAACTGGCTTGTCGAAGTGGCAACGTAAAACATCAAGTTTGGAGTATTCCGGTGATATTTTAAGCTTTTCTGTCAAGGTATCAGCGTTTGTGTCAATAGCACTTTTGGAAGATGTGCTAGTAGAAACCGAATCGAATAATGTAAGTCCTCTTAACAAAACAAGCGAACAGAATATGATAGATTTCGCTAAAGAATTTTTTGATCATGTTCATAGACTTTTTGATAAAAAAATTGACTCAGCCGAGTTAACGTGTGGTAAAAACCATTTGTTTATTTCTATATCGCCAATAACTAGTGGAGGGAGTCAGCACAGGATCAAACAAATGATATTGTCGAAAATAAATTTCGCAGCACAAAAGATCGATCTTTATGAAGTATTAAATGGAGAAACGTCTGAGTTGATAACATTTGATCGAACCGAAAATCACAACACACCTGATTTATCGGTACATATTGAATCGGATGTTACTTCAAAAAGTGTAAATATCGCT